GCAGCTCATCTTGTAGTCCAGATCTTTTGGCAATTTAAGAATAAAACCTCTTTTAATGATTGAACACAATTAAATATTATGCTTAGCAAAATTGGTTCACTTGGTCTTTTAGTGCCCTCTGTTGGCTAATACAGATGACGACTATTTTGTATCTACAAAAAGCTGTTACGGTCTCCTGTCACCTGAGAAAACTGAGGAAGAATGAACTTTCAGAAATACACCTTCCGTAATTGTAGTGAGTGTAGAGGTTGGCTTTGAAGGATAATGGAACAGCCATTAGCAACAATCAGATAAACAAGGAAATTATTTACAAAAATGCCTCAGAATGCACTCATACAGACACACACACATACACACACAACACATATTTCAATTCACATGGAGGTAGAAGAAAGAAGAAGGGAAGTGGGTTCAGACCTGCAAAATTCTATTATTGTAACTTTTCTCACAGAAGTAGCTTTAGGTTTATGCAATATTTCTTCCTTTGTCTGATCTACCTTACAGAGGTGACAGTAATGTAAAAGGTATTTTCCAGTTGGTAAGGTACACTTACCTCTTGTTGTTTTATCTAGAGAGATTTAGTAATAGTAAAGTTAGATCTAGGCATGAAAGCACAAAGGAGCAAAATAATATTCAGGTTTTTTTAAAAAACAACATCCCTACAATTTCTTGTTCATTGAGATGCGAAAAAGCTAGGAAATCAGAAGCTAAGAGTATTTCCTGGGATTTGAAAACAAAGTAGAAGTAGTATCTGTGTAACCTATATATTGAGTTTTATTTCTTTCATTCTCTGTAACAAAGGGAGTTTACAAATGGCAATTTGTATAAATAAAATATGAATTGCAAATAATCATAAATGTAGCTATTGGACCAAGTAAAAAAGATGGTGGTAATGTTTTTGTTATGAATATGCCATAGCTGTAACCTTAGTTTGTGGCTTTTGAGCCACAAAGATGTCCTAATTATGCTTCCCACATGGTGTAAGGAGAGTGGGACAATGTGGCTGATGATGGAGCAGCTGTATTTGATTTGAAGCCAACTTGACTTGAGTTCTAATCAAGTAGACCATCATATTGTATGTAGTTATATATGGCATCGGCCAAAATTATATAAAAGACCATTTACTCCCGTGCATAATTGAATCTTTTGCTGACTCTGCAACAGAAACATCAAGATGCTTCTACTTCTACCTCTACTTTGTTGGTGTTGGGACCTATGTTACAGAACAACCTCGTGTTGAGACTGGACTCACATTTAAAAACTTAGAAAAAGGCTTCAGGCATCTCTATTACAGAAGTCTTTTAAGTTAGAGGATATTTGTAATGCTGTTAGTTTTGAATATTTTTAATTGGTGTATTGAATTTTAAATGGAATTTTAGATGATGCGAAACACTTGGCAATCCCAAAATGGAAGAGGAGTCATACATTTTTAAAATAAATTTTATAAACAGATAAGACCCTTTTAATGACCTAAACAGTTTATGAAGAAAGGACTAAGAATTCCCAAAGTCTTTGAACACAAATGTGGTTTCTTATCCTTTTATTGTTCAATTATCATTTAGCTTTTGGAGTAACTCTTTACCTTCAGCACAGTTGCCATTCAGCTGTTTTGGGGACAACCGGTTCTTCTCTGCAGCATTAAAGACTGTTTCTGCATTCATTTTCTCCTCTGTGGCTTCTCTTCCTGTATGAGAGCTCCCTCTACTTGAAGATAATTGGTTTTGTCAGAGCTTTACTAGCTGAACATTTAAAATCCTTTGACTATCTTGTATTAATTTATATTAATAATTTTTAGTAGCCTGTATAAAAAGGCTTGCTGGCCAGTGACTGAAATAAAATGACTGAAGTGTAAAAAGAGCATCTTATTAATATTATGCTATATGTTTATGCTTACACAAGTACCAGAACAATTTTATTGAGTCCTGGATTGGTCACTATAGAAGCAGTCACAGTAGTATCTAACAAAAGAGCATAATCCTTTAATTATGGATTTTTTTATTTATTTGCACCCATGCTAGATATAGTGACATAAGGAAATTTTCCATTTTCAATAAACTAAATAAAATCTTTATTATTACAGTAACAAACTAGTATTGCAAACAGTGACAGTTAGAACTCTGCAAGGCATTCAAAGGGGTCGATGTAAATAAAATTCATCTAATCATCCAGAAAAAGAGTGATGAGAGTCATTATTAAACTGTTGTGTGAGTGTCTATAGAAAACAGTATAATAAGACATGGGCCAGTGGTTTGACTGTTCTATCATTGCAGCCGCATAACCTTTTGGCATAAGAACACTTCTTAAATCTGCCCTCGAAAATTGCTGACGGTAAAATATTAGCACATAGTAGCATAAAAGCTCTGCACTATTTAGGTACAGTTAATCAAAGCACCTAGCTGGGTTGGATATTATTCAGTTGGCTTACTAACTCAGCATATGCTGACTCTGTAAAACCGTTTAGAGGGGGCTGTAAAGCACTGTGAAGCGGTATATAAGTCTAAGTGCTATTGCTATATTCCTTATTCTCTACGTGTAATCTGGGATTCCATATCCAGGATCCTTGATTTGAATGCAGCATATCCTATTCTCCAATCACAAGGAATTTCCTGTCTTTACTTCTGAAAATAAATGGTGGATTCTGAACAGTCACAAGTAGTCTGATAGCACCATAATAACCTCAATAAAATAGTAACAAGGTCAGTAAAAATATGGATTAAAGAAATAATATTGCAAGATGGAAATTAAATATCTCCGTGAGAGATCTAGAGCTGTGGTGGCGCAGTGGTTAGAGTGCAATACTGCAGGCTACTTCTGCTGCCTGTGGGCTGCCGGAATTTGGCAGTTCAAATCTCACCAAGCTCAAGGTTGACTCAGCCTTCCATCCAGATTGCCAGATTGTTGAGGGCAATATGCTGACTCTGTAAACCACTTAGAGAGGACTGTAAAGCAGTATATAAAAGTGCTATTGCTATCGCTATTGCTATCTTCTGTGAGATCTCTGTAGAGGCCTCTTCATAGATCAGATCCAGGCATTTTGTAGGTCATATACTACATCTCTGTCGTAGGCGGCTCTAGTCTGATCTGCAGCATTGGTGGGAGGTAGGGCATCATCATTGGCAGGTGGCAGGGCATTGGTGGCGGGGGGGCATCATGTGGGGGGGTGAAGTGTGGGCAGTGTGGCGACAGTGGGGAGGCATAGTATTAGCAGCCTTCTACAACAGTCCCAGTTTTTATGTGGACCTTTGGGAACATTACTTGTCCACCCATGCTACAGATGAACAGCAACATAGTTCAGTGAAAGGGGATGTGATTTGCATAGAGGATTTTAGGCTTAGAATTAGGGAGTGACTATAGCATCCCTATCTGGGCTGAAGAAATCAGACTTTTCTACATCTCTTTGCTGTCCTCTAGTGATGATCTGGATGTTTGCAACCGTGATACTGTAGCCTTATAGTTCTGCATTTCTCCGGGAATGAAAAAAAAAAGTCTAGTCCTAGGTCAGTGCTAACAATCTGGAGCTAAATTGGCCTATAATCTGATTCCACTGCTTATAATAGTGGAATCCATGCCCAGCTTCAACCAGCATCTCCTTGGGTGGCTTTGGTCAAAATTGTTTTCAGCTCAGGCTAATTTACAGGATTATTTTACTGGGTGAAGTTGGAATGGGAAAAGCACAATTTTCTGAAGGAAAGGTGACATACACATATAATAAAGTAATTGCTTTGCATATTCCAATTCTCAAGATGGTTCAGATCTCGATCTTAAATAAAAAAAAATAACAAGGGAAACAACAGGGTTATCAAGACAAACTCATTATCATGGGATTATAATAGGACCCAATGAAGACTCTTGGACATTCATTTACATTTGTTGCTGCTTCATATTTATTGGAAGGGATGGCAAGAGGTACACTGAACCAACCAATTTCTGTAGAGCCCTAATGGTAGATTTAGAAGAATGGGTGCAAACTGAATTGGGTTTGGAGATCTCATGAAAGACAACAGAAGAGGAACAAGCTGCCTAAATCTTGAAAGCTAAAACCAAATTGAACCTCAGTGACCAGAATTCGAAGCAACGCCCTCCGAGACGGTAGTGTAGACAGTTTTTCTGATGTTAGCAAGCTGAAGAAGGATGACTTACTCACTTTTGTTTCCTGCCACTTGATAATAATTGTCTCTAATGAAAACCATTGGGCTATGAAAATCAACGGGGAGCATATAAGAAGATAAAAAAAACATCATCTCTTTATATCCATCCAAATTGCCAGGCCTAGCATCTGTTTTGTTCTTTGCAGTAGAAGGGGTCACTTTGAATAGTTAAGACCTCAGCTGCTTCTGTTCTCTTTAAATAACTGAAATGGGAATAAAGCTCCTTCTTTTATTACTTCAATAAAAGCTTTTAAAGTCTCTTGACCTAAAATCTCTTGTTCTGATGTAAGAGAGGAGTTGCGTGAAATAAGGATAAAGTATGGATTACAGTGCATTTAGAATTGCATGTTTCTATATCATGTAATCACTACTTTGCTTTCTTTATTTTTCAGCTAGAAAGTGCTCAAAAATCTCAGCTTTTATGTGTCAGTGTCTGAATGAAGATATATAAAAATATATGAAAATTGAAAGACTGCAGTACCCAAAAAGTCTGAGCTAGTTAACTATTACGAGTAATCCTCTAAATACTTGAACGGTTATACTGTGGTCTGATCATCATGATGATATTCTACTGCTACCTTATTAAGCTGTTCACATTCAGTTCAGTTTGGTGTAATCACATTTACCAATTCAAGCACATTTTGGCAGTCTTACGCCAGCCTTTTCCTCCTTCCTTAACATCCTTTATCAATTTGGCTTGGTGCGCTTTTTATAGTTTTATAACATTATAGCATCCTCAAGGCAAGGTGGTAGCAGAATATTTTGCAGATGAATGAACATGTGTAGCTGGGAACTTGAAATGACATTTCTACAAAAGTAGATTTTTCATCTTCTTGTTTGCCTGCTTTTCAGGATCCCTTAGATCCAACAAAGACCGCATTTGTCATCAGTTCCCTTGTGCCATGTGGAGTGGCTGAACGTGGTGGTGCCCTCTTCCCTGGTGACCGCTTAGTCTCTGTAAATGATATGTGTTTGCATAATATTGGTCTAGAAGAAGCTGTAGAAGTTCTAAAATCTGTACCACCTGGTGAAGTTCATCTTGGAATCTGCAAACCTTTGGTGGTAAGCGACATTAAATGTATGTTTTATAACTTGTATTTTCCAATTCAGTAATGGTTAACACTTGAGCGAAAGGTCACCAGGATTTTAATGCAAGCAAAATATATTTGCCATAAATTCTTTGAATGATTTATCCTCTTTCTGAGTTTTGCCATGATTGGAGGTCCAGATGTTGTATGCTAAAGAAACAGGAACATTTAGTCTTGGAGAAATGACAGCCTCCTTTTTTTTTTAATCTCCTTTTTACTTCAAATTTATATCCCAGTGTTTTGTTTTAATGGATTCTTGAAATAGTTTTGTATCACTTAAAACAAAGATATACATTTACAGTTGGATTAAAATAGTAATTTGTAGAACAAAACCAATAGCAGCCATTTAATAAAACATCAGAGATCACACTAGAAGCAATTAACATTGTGGAATGATTAAAGAAAAGAGTGAATGCAACTGTTGAGAGGTTTCTTAGTTTGCAGTAATCTATGCTACTGTGGAGAGAGCGATGGCTCAGGGGCTGACAACTCAGGTTTGAGATTCGAGTGCTGTGCAATGGGATGAACACCCATTACTTGCCCCAGGTCCTGCCCACCTAGCAGTTCGAAAACATGCAAATGTGAGTAGATAATTAGGTACCACTTCAGTGGGAATTCCTGCATTCCGTGCATCTCGGCATATAGTCATGCTGGCCACATGACCATGGAAAGGGTGTCCAGGCATACTGGCTCCCTCGGTTAAGAAACAGAGATGAGCTCTGACTCCTAGACTCAGACACAATTGGGAAAACTTCTACCTTTACCTTTACGCTACTGTGATTTAAATAAAATTAAAAATCATATATGTGTACAATATTAAGGATATCCATTGCACATATATGTGTACAATATTACGTGTATTAATTACACACATGTATATGTGTTCATTATTAAGGGAATTCATTGCACATGAAAAAACAAAATTCGAGCATACAGATGCATGGTAAATCTATCCAAAATCTACAGTTTGGTAATAGTTTTACAAGCACCATCCAATGCTACAAAAAATGTGCAAGTTCTTTAGAACTTTTCATTAGCCTAGATGTATCAAAATCATTTGCCTATTGTTCAGAATTTTAAAATAGTTTCAAGGAGGAACATACAGACTGAATACATTGGCCACTAGACGCAATATACCTTTCAGGTTCTATGTAGCATTCTAATTAATAAAAGGTACAATTTATCTACCATTCATTCTAAGACAAAGAGAACTCTTCAGTTAACTATACGCTAAGACCGTAGGATCTGGAAAAAAGCAGTAATAAAAAGAAATATGATAGTCGTTACTTTGGCAAAGCAAGATATTAAGTCAATTGCTTCTGGCTACCTAAATCAAATCAAGTTTTTACTACAGGCTTACAGTCAGAAAAATTACCTAAAATGTATAGAGCAGGGCCATTTTTATTGTCCTGTAAGTATTAGGCAATTAATGATTTTTTGATATAGTTGTAAAAGAAAACACACATTTATTTATATACATGCTTACAAACTAAATATAATAATCAGAGTATGATTAGCTATAGAATGGCCTGTACTTTGACGAGTCCAAACAACCCAGCAGCCCCAGAATGAAAAACAGCACACAATATAAAGACTGCAACAACCACTACATAGGAGAAACAGGTAGAAGACTAGCAGAACACAATGAAATCTCTTTAATTTCACAACATATGGACAGACTGAACCATAATTTCAACTCGGAAACTGACTACCCTAGTCCAAAAACTCCAGAGAGCTCCTAGCAGCCTAGCACTGGGACTAATTGGCCATCAATAGACAGAGACATAAACAACAACTGCATATTGTGCGAAAGAGACAAACAACAAGCTAAAAAGGGAACAAAAAGACCAAACACTTACCCACCATCAATCAACACCCAGATGAGATAGATTAACACCAAGATTAACATCAGACCAACAATCAAGAAGTAAACAATACGCCAATCAAGAAACTGCCAGCAAGCTAACGGTAGACCCCTTCCACCAATGCTGACTGGGCAATCCATTAGCATATAATATGAGAGCTAACCATACTCCTTACTAGCTGCTGATGTTATCTAGTTTGGTTAATAAAATGTCTGCAAGAAAACAAACAAGCTCAGAGAGCACCAAGGACCGACCCTGAGCTACAAATATTCTCCTTTATTGGATTCTACTTTATTTATTAAATTCATTTGCCAATCATTTATTTGCAATGTTTGCAAGGCATACATTGCCACAATTCATCATAATCGTAATTGAGTGGAAACTTCATTTGATACATAAAAATGCAAACATTATGCAACTTTCAAAGTGTAAGGCTGTTTAAACTATGTTGTTCTTTCATGGGTCCGTAGTGGTTTCTATTTAATTATCACAACTTAGCTGTGGAGTTTTTATAGCCTCAGATATTCTTAGGTAATTCACTAGTCCCAAAACCTTAAAACATTTAATTAAAAAGTTAAAACTCTGCTAAAATATGCTACTTGAGCCAGTGGAAAGTGTAGATAATGATGAGCTAGGAAACTGCCCTGCTGTTTTTGTTAACTTTATTAATATAGGAATTTGGGGGCAGAAGTAATTTAAAGGAGACAAAATAAATTAATGTACCATAAGGATTTGGGTATAATTTTATATTGCCCATATGTTTGGCTTATTTAGAATCTAACAGTTCTTTCCACATTTCCTCCGTATTTCTTGTATTATATATTTCTTCTTAGGACTGACTACAGGTAATCCGCGACTTACAACCACAATTGATCCCAAAATTTCTGTTCTTAAGTGAGTTTTGCCCCATTTTATGACCTTTCTTGCCTCAGTTGTTAAGTGAATCACTGCAGTTGATAAGTTAATAGCCCAGTTGTTAAGTGAATCTGGCTTCCCTATTGACTTTGCTTGTCAGAAGGTTGCAAAAGGGGATCAAATGACCTTGGGCACAATAACGGTCATCAGTGTGAACCAGTTGCCAAACCTCTGAATTTTGAACACATGATCATGCGAGGGTGCCCAAGTTGTAACTGTGAAAATGACCATAAGTCAGTTTCGTCAGTGCTGTTGTAACTTTGAACGGTCACTAAATGAACTCTTGTTAAGTCAAGGACTACCTGTATTAACTTTCCATTTTACTTTCTGCACTTCTTTGGAATAGCCTCCTCCCTACAACAGGAATGAGGAGGAATTCTGGAGGTTCAAGCCCACAAGTGGTAAAGGGATCAAAGTTGCCCATCCCTGCTCTACAAGCTACTTTGTCCACAAGTTGCTTTCTTGGTTTGTCTTCTCTTTTTTAAAAGTTGGGGTTTGATATTTTCCTGAACAGTGACTTTCTTTTTTTAAGGGAGAAAATAAACATAATGGGACTTCTTCTGTGAAACCCGAGAGACTTAACAGAAGTTCAGTATCTCAAGAATCAATCAATAATATTGAGTCATCAATCCTCCTTGCAGCTCCAAAGGTTTTCTATTGATTTATATTGCTGTTACGATAACATTTGTCCTATGTAAAGACTTTTTCAGAATGAAAGTTGAATTGAGATATATTAAATGTTTGTTTGAATTAGTTGTGGTCTTTCCTAAGATGTACCACTCTGTAAATCTAGATGGGAAGAATGTTTCTACAGGTGTTTCTTCTGGGGTGGACAGGTTTGTTTGTCTTGGCAAAAGTTGGCAACTGGAAAATTCATTAATAGAATAATGCCAGTAGGTAGTCTCATTTTTTAAAGTGTGAAATTATGTTTATAAATTAATGTTTTTTTAAAAAAATTAAGGAAATGTTTTTGAGATCTGGCACCTTCTTGGAGCAGAATTTGTCTGTCTACCTATCTGCCTGCCTCTATCTATCTATCTATCTATCTATCTATCTATCTATCTATCTATCT